TTCCCCTTTTCTGCCAACGTTATTCTGATGGCTGTCTGAAGTGAAATAATGGTTGCTTTTCCTGGAAACGTGCGGCATAAAGCATTGCAGACTGGGTTTATATCCTGAAGGTTTAGATCATTAAATTCTCAGGGCTTAAGCTCTTATTTCTTGTTTTTTCACTGCTTACAAGAGGATCTCCCAGGGCCTTTTTGTGAAACCAAATACAAATAAGACATTAATAAAACAGGATTGTATATTTGTACTGCCGGCTGTTTGTAAGGATTACTTGTATATAACGTTTTGTGGTATTAGGCCCTTAGTCATTTTGATCTGTCCCTTCATCCACTTCTAAAGAAGTGGCTTTTCTCTCTGCTCAGACAACACTTGAGAGATATTGCCCTCTGGAAAGATTTCTTCAGTTGCAATATTAATTTCTGACTTTTCTACCTTTTTTTCCCCTGTCTCCCTTTGGCAATGTTTTAGTTTCTTTACCTGGTTTTTTTTCTCTACCCGCTGTGATTAGTTAATACAGTTTTTTTACTGGTTCAGTTATTGAAGTGATGGATAATACACACAGACTGCAGTTATTACTTGTCAGTTAGTGCTGCCCTACGGGGGGAAGAGCCCTTTTAACGGCCTAGCAGCAGTTTCAGTTTTATGAAGTACTTGAACTTTAATGCTAAACTTCTGAAATGTTCTAGGATGTGTAGGAAAGATTGTTAAAAATGAGATTTAAATGGGAGAAAAAAAAAAGCCGTGTCTCATCATGCAAGCCTTCGTTGCTGTATGAAGAAAAACTTGCAGAAGCATTGTACTTAATGTGTGTTAGAAAATGTTGTGATAAAAGCAAAATCACAATGTTTCATCCTCTCCACAAAGCTGTTCTAGCAGTATCACATTTACTTGGCTCTGACAGCATTCCTCCCGTGTTCAGCCTGTTGGCCTGAGCTTCAAACCATTTTTTGGTGGCATTTATGTGTAGTCCTTCTGTAGAATGAGTGTAAAATGAATAAATGAATTTTTTTTTATTTTATTTTTCAGGAAAGCATTTGCGTGCCTGAGCTCAGTTCCAAAGCAGGAGGGAGAGCAAACCGTTAAGTTATAAGAACAAAAAGCAGAGATTGATTAGGAATTAGCCCCTAAAACTCATTTTTCAGATTATAGAGGCAGGAAGATGGTCCCAGCGGTGGCAGGCACCAAGCTGCTGGACAGAGTGTGGCCCCACTTACCCTTGCTTGAAAGGTGACAAGTGACTGCACTTCACACACCAGAGGAAAGGGGAGGGAAGGCTGGCAGGTCATCATTGCACATGGATATCCTCTGCTGACAGATGATTTTTTAATTTATTTTTTTTTTTAAAGTTTTTGCTGGCCCATTTGGGTTTCGCGTGTGTCTGCATGAGTGCGTGTCCCCCTGCTCCGAGCCAGGAGCAGCTGGTGGTGGCTGTGTGCTTTCACTTCACACCCTGCCTTTGCGTTGGTGGAGTCACTGGGAAGCAGGGCAGCTCTTCCAGTTGCTGTCGGTGTTTTGCAGCCTCTGAACCTGCCCCGTCTGCTCTGGCACTTGCAAACAACCAGGCATGGATAAAAGAAGCTGACAAGTGCTGGAGGCTGTGCCTGGGATCCCAGGAGGAAGCAGGGCTTTGCAGGGTCAGTCTCATGTTTATGAACCCCGGGAGACCCCGGTCTTGGGCAGCAGCAGAGGGTTGGGCAAGCAAGGAAACCTTTCCATGAGCTGCCTCTTGGAGAGCTGTCCCGTGCAGAGAATCCCTGGGGATGGCAGTGCTGAGGACTGGCAAGTAGGAACCAGATGTGCCTTAATTTCCTCTTTAGTAACTGTTTATGCTAATCTTTACAATCTGATTTCATCCTTTTTTAATAGGCTAAACTTGGTTGTTTGTTTTTTTTTTTAAAATACGTCGCTTTCTCTTTGTTTTGTCAAAAACCATAAGCTGTGGGCAGTCTCCTCCGGCATGGTCCCTTATGGACTGTGGCTGCGTTTGGCACTTTGATTTGCCAGTAGAGATGGAGTGACCCAGTGTGACCTCCTGCAAAATTGCAGCATGGTCCTCTGAAATCACTCTGTGTTGTATTCAGATTCCCCAAGAAGCACATATCTGCTGTCTGAAGATCAAGTGTATCTTCAAAGATTTTCATCGCACAAATGGATTTCCTTTGTTTTATTTTGCTGGCTTAAGGTTGAGATTTTCTTTTTTTGTGTGTGGTTTTTTTTTAATATCCTCCACTGCTGCAGACTGTTCAGCCAGCAGTGATGCTGCTCGTGCTGGATTTAACAGGATGTGCTGTGTGCTCATTGCCAAGCTACGTTTTCCGTGCACGATGGAGACGTCCAGAAATTTGCTCTTAATTTAGAATGAAACAACCCTGCCCCCCCAAAAATGCCCCTAAAAGTCTTCACTTCATGGTGGATCACTCTGACAATTGCAGTGAGCACCCGACCTCCCAGTCTGAGGACTGGGTCTGGATCAGCAGCCTTTGGTAGGGGCTGGTATAGAAATAAGATTTTTATTTACTGTTGCCTTGAAGCAGCCTGCATTTGTTTACCACTGTGAGCTGACCTTTAGGGAGACATTTCTCAATTAATTGGGTATCTAATCACTTCACACGATTGACAGGTGTGTAGGTATTGGAGTTTTTCCTCTTGTTAGATGTTTTTCCCTTTGGTTTCTTCTTTCCCTGTTATATGGCAAATGAGGCATTTATTTTTTGTATTGGTTCCTTCACTGTTTTTCTCTTGACTAATTAACTGTTGATTTCATACTTGCCTGTTGTATCCTCGCCTGAACCTTTCTTTTCCCAATCCATTCAAATCATAGGTCTCTCGTTCTCAAATAGGTGCTTAGATCTTACAGCTAAGATAGAGGCCAACTATTTAAATTCTTCTAATATTTGGCTTTCTAGAATCATCCTCTCATTCTTTACATTTACTCTCTGCAGACTTGTTAAAAAAAGAAGCTCTACCTTTAATTATTTTCCTCAAGACACTGACTCCTTGTAGGTGTTGAATCTTTGCTTGTGTTCATTCCCTGGAGAATTTTGGAGGTTTACTTGGTGCTTTTGGTTCCTGAGATGACAGGCGGTGTTTGTTGGGACACTTCAGCCTGCCTTGGGTTTAGCTCTCTGTACATCTGGACACTGAAAACCCACCCTGGCTGTGTTCAGATCTTAGCAGGGGGGAAGATGCTCTGGCTTTTTATTTGTTTGTCCTCCAGTTGTTTGTCAGTAAATAATCTGGAATATTTCCATAGCAAATACATATATATATATAGAGAGAGAGAGAGTTTTTTTACCTCCTGTGCAAAACAGAAATGTGTTTTAGGTAAGTGATGTTTTGATTTTTATACAGAGGGCAAAATTCACTTGCATGGCATGTAGGTCAGAGGCTCTGAAGAAGTAAAACGCGACTGGATTGGGGATTGGTACTGGAAAGTACTGGTTTTATCTGGGGAGGGTTAATAGCATAAACTTCTTTATATGTCTTGGATCCCAGGACTCAGGTGCCAGGATCTGTCCCTGCTTTGCCCCTGGCCAGAGGGTGCTGTCAGAGGTATCGCAGTGGGAAACGATCTGAGACTCAGTGCTGGAAACTTCAGTTCAGTAGCAGCTTATCCTGCTGAGCTGACAAATGGCATGAACCAAATATTGCACGTGCTTTCCCGCACTGATGTTCGGGTAACTTTGTGCCATGGGCATATCGTGGTTAATAGGTAAGGGAAAATATGTTAACTCAACTGGAGTCTAAGCCTGGATTTTCTGGAGCAGGAGAACTTAATTCCAGCCCTCGCTGTGCTGTGAAGCCCAAGCCCTGGGATAAAGCCTGGCCCCAGCCCTGAGTCGCTGTGGATTTGTTACGGTGCTCCCTTGCTCTGGCCAAACTGGTGCTTTTCTCATGTTTCACAGTGTGCCAGGGAAGGAAAATGAGTTCATTCAAAAAACAATTTTGCTGGAAGATTGCTCTATAAATAAATCACGGAGAAAAGTGCAATAAAACATTAGTGAAGGGAAGGAGAGAAGGAAGGTGGAAAGAAGCAGATGTAGGAAGCGAGACTGGAGTTGTTCCATGGCCAAGTATTTGTATTGATCATAGACATCCTTTTGTCACCAGTAACTTCTTGGAGCATCCCTTGGAGGAAAAAATCGGAATAACTCCAAGGAAAGGAGGTCTGAGTGCTGTCAGCTGCTGTGCACAGAAATAACTCGGGTCTGAGCATCTCAGAGAGGCGCTGGCGGAACAAGGAGCTGCGGTGCTGGGCGATGGGTTGCAAAGGACGGGTCCGTGCAGGGATGGTGCCAGGCAGAAATCCTCCTGCCGAGGGTAACGAGGGGTGGCTGCTGCTCTCCTAGTCCTTCATGCTGCAACTCCTGGGTTTGCTCTGATGGTTCACACCACGCTTTTTTCTAAGACTAGGTCATAAGCAGCATGTTTTCAATGGTTCCTGGTTGTGGCTTTAATTGTTGGTTTGCGTCCAATAAAACTTTCTGCATAACTGATCACGGGAGAGCCTTTTTCTCTGCAATATTGGACCTAAGGTGCTGGAAGAGTTTGTGGCCAGGGACGGACAACGGTCTGTCTGTTCTTGTTCGTCCTGTCCAAAAGTCATCGATGCCAGGTGATCCAGCTGGAGGAAATAAAAATATCTGTAGAGGAACTAGTGGTGAGATTTCACGCCTGGGGAAGCAAATGAAAGGGAGATCAAGTTCCCGGTTATTTTCCCATTAAGTTAAAGCTCCTGTAAAACCAAAGTGCCTGGGGTAAATAAGGGGAAGATAAGCTGTTGTTTGGCAAAAGTGGCTCAGCTCACAGATGCTGTGGAACAGCTTTCTTGAAAGAACAAGTGAGGCAACTCCTTATTTGGGTTTGGTTTGTCTTAGCCCCCTGGATTCTTGGAATAAATTAATGATTTAATTTTTTTTCCCCCGGTTTGAAGCTGTGTGAAAGGCTGGAACAGCATCCCTGTGTTAGAATGTGTTGCAAATTTAATTTTTCCTTTATTTCAGCAACAGCGCACAGTTTATAGGCTGACACTGGTGAAAGCTTGGAATGTGGATGAACTCAAAGCCTACGCTGACCTGGTATCCCTTGGTAAACCAGACTTCATTGAGGTTAAGGTGAGCTGCATGGCGATATTTTCTTTTTCCATTGGTATTTTACTGTTTTCCTCACCATTCTCCCTCTCCAGTCTCATACTAGTAAATGCAATTCTTTCCAAGGTTTCAGTGATGTATAAGGAACTTATCTCTTGCCTTTAAGGCTATGCAGACAGGTTTCTAATATTTTCTGTGTGCATTTGGAGTAGTCTTTATCATTATGCAAGACAAGCTTTATACCAGCCAGCATCATTTTCTGCTCAGCAGAATCGTAACCCTCTACTGTTGTATTTCTCGTGAAAGCAGAGACTGACAAATAGATGTTCCTTCTTTTATGTCAATCAGCATTTTAAACAGAATATTCTGGGCCAAGCTGGTAGTTTGTGGTATTATTCTTCCCATTCTGGCCTAAAATTCTGCTGGGGGAAAAGGTGATCCTGTCTGGCTTACGAATGTGGTATTTGTCAGGCTGTACAAAACGGGGGAAAAATTACCTTCTGGAACTGGAAGAGCTATGAACAAAAGCATGTGAGATGCAGCAGGGCAGGAGGTGCTTTATCTAGGGATTAATCAATTTAGTATGTAGAGAACGTAGAAAAAACACATTGCAAGGCGTTGTGTAAAGAATCACTATTGGCAGCTTCACCCAGCAACTCCTCTGCAGACCAGCACATTTACCTCAGGTCTGTGTTTTTGCAGCTCTATTACTTCTGGACTTTTCTCTTTCCTTTCTCTTTTCTCTTTTTCTCTTTCCTTTTTTTAACCTTTAATTTACTGCTGCTTGGAAGGAAAAACCTGAAGCTTACTGCAATTTCCTTATGAAACAAACCCCAAAGGTTTTGATATTACGAGTACTGAGTGGTCTCTTTTTCTCTGAATGTGCTGCCGAGTTGATGGCTTAATACAAAATAAGATTCTGAGTATGGTTTGGGGAAAACCCTCACTTTTACAGCATGTATCAGGCTGGTTTATATTCCTGAGGTAAAACTGATGTTGTACAAGATCCTTCCAGCATGGGAGGAGGGCAGAGAGGAGCGTGCACGCCGGCGTGAAGGATGAGGCTCTCGGTGTACGTGCTACCTGGTCTGCTCTGTCGTGTGTAGCAGCTTTAATTAGTACAACGAACTGGGTGTAAATTAATCAATGTTCCTGAGCACAAATTGCCCTGAGCGCTCTCCAGGCTGAACATCTGTCTCCTCCAAGGCGCAGGGCTGCTGTTCCCTTTGCCAGGGGAAGATTCAGCCTTGCAGAGCTGAGTTCTCAGCAATGTGGAGCTCAGCTTTCCCAGCGGCTCTTCCCTGGCAAAATCAAGCCTCGGACTGTGCCTGGGAAATAGGTAAGAGGTGGTCGTGGATGCACTCCTGGCCCTCTTCCAGCCAGGTCAGGCTGCTGCCCACAGTGCTTCAATCAAAAATGTCAGCTTTGCACTCTGGGTGCTCCAAAGTGTTTGTTGGATCTCAACCACTGAGAACTTTTCCCCAAGGAAGGGATGTGGATTGGACACTTTTCCCTGCTTGCAGAAGTATGCACTGAGGCAGAGAGAGGCTGTGTGATGTTGCTGGGGTTCTTTGAGGGTTTTTTGGTGTTAGCTTTTTGTTGGGTTTTTTTGTTGTTTTGCTTTGATTTGGTTGGTTGGTTTTTAAAGTGTTAAATGTTCCTTAATTAAACTTGCAAGCAAGACGCCTTGCTTTCAATGTCCTGTTTTCAGAAATATGTCATACTTGTGAATTTCCAGCAGGTAAATGAATTTCTTCAAGTGCTGGAGGACAGAAATGTCCCTCAGACGGGTGAGTGACCCTGGCCAGAGTGTCATGCCTTCAAACTAAGAACCAGAACATCTTGTGCCTTAGTTTCTTCCTCTGTGAATGATTTAGTGTTGTACCCATGCTGTGGCCCCAGAAGCAGTCTGTACTTGGCGTATGGAAAGTCTCTTGTCTTTCCAATCCCAAGAGCACTACCCCGGGACACAGGAAAGCCCAGGTCGAAGCCTTTTTCAAAGGCTGCAGCTTCTTTCTCGCCCTTCTCTCTGCTCGTTGCTGTGCTTATGCTGGGAGTGATGAGGAAAATCTTCCCTTCCCTGGTTACAGTTTTCGTTAAAAACCGCAGTACGGCGTTTCACAACTTCATCACAAGCTGTACACTCAAAGTCCAAAAAAAGTCTTACACGGTTTGTTCTTCGTTTCCAGTCTAGTGGAGGGAGGATGATTTTTCCAAAGCTCTCGAAAGCGTACAGCCAGCCTGACAGCAGCTAAGCCCCACAAGACAGCAGCGAGCAGCTGAGTACAAGAAAACACACTAATTCCTTTTCAGCTTCAGCAGAAGTGAATTGTCAGGGTGCTGCTCCACCTTGTTTCCCAGCAGGCTCTGGAAACAGTCTCTATTTTTCTCCATTTAACTGAACTTTTAAATAGAGCCGTGCTGTCCTGTTACCTTAATTGCAAAGGCAGGGAAGCAGGGCTCACATGTTAGAGGCATGAAGCTCAGCATTGCTGGCGCACCCATTCATGGCAGGAGCTGAACTGGCCTTATCTGTCTAAAAGAAATGGTGCAGCTCTACACTGGCCCAGCATCTGAGTTTTAAATGGTGTTTCCATCCCTTTTAAAAGACACAGAGTTCTGCAATGGCTTCCCTGGAGCGCAGGGAATTTTTTTGACACTGGGGTGTGTTTAAATAGACCTGAAGTTGGACAAAAGATCTTGGTCACGGGTTTTCTGACGAGACGTTTTTATGTGAGAGCAAGGGTTTAACACAGTTGCCTTTCTTCCTTGCCTCTTTGGAGCGAGTGTAATGCTCCAGAAGGTGGGCTCTGCAGAGGGGGAGCAGCTCACACTGAACACAGCATTAGCCCGGTCAGCAGCATTATTTGTTTCTCAGGGTTTCATCTGCCACTGCTCACAACAGCAGCATTTCCAAAGCGTGGAAGGTTTGGCTCGGTAGGGAGGCACAATGACTTTCTCCTCTTTCTGCGCTGTCTGCGACTTTGAAATGTGAGGGGATTATGTGGTTTCTCACCTCAAGCATAGAACCAATTTTTTCTTGGCTGGAAGGAGTTAGTGACATGTTCTGGAGTGGCTGATGAAGGATGAACTGTGCTGCTGCAGGGCAGGGAGAGAGTCCAGCCAAGTGCCACAGGAGAGGCTGAGAGAGGGGGTGGCATCCTGAGGGTGGCTTTCTTGCTTGACTGTCCTTCTCTCAAGTGTCACTTGATTGCTGGTGGGCTGGTGAGGTCCCCACGCTGCTGGAGACCTTCCTGTTGCTGTGCCTGCACTCGGACCCTTACCCTGCGCTCTCACCTAACTGAATTAGTAGGTTATTCTCTTTTGCATTCAGCTGTGTGCTCTGCAGACAGCTAGTTTTCATGGCATTGTCTTTAATCCTGGCTTCCAAAGTGCATGTTCAGCTCCCTACCCATGAGATCAGGTTTCTCTTACGACAGGATCATGGGTGTAGGTGGCCTTGAGGCACTTGAGCTGTGCTGTTCAGCAGACTAGGATGGGCAGTGCTTCGAGGTGCTACCTTGCTTCTGCCTGTGCACCTGTGAGGGGAAGGAAAGAGCTGGGATCTCTGGTGTTTGACTGCTCTGGAATAAAAAGTGAGCCAGGTCTTCTGAGCAAAGGAGGACAGAAGAGGGGCTGCATCCTATCCCCACGAAACCTGGGAGTTTGCGATTGTGCAGGCAAAGTGTACGTAGGCAGAGTGATCACCCAGATGTAACCCCACGGCATTCGGAGTGATGCTTGATACAGTGACATGTCAAGTCAGAAGTTAAGTTCTGACCCAAAGGAGGACGGGTAAGGTTGAGGTGTGATCAAATCTGGCACTTGTTGTTGCTGTCAATGTTCCCTTTCATGTGTTCTGTGTGTGACTGGCCTTTAGTCCAGCTCCAGCACTGGTGGTGTTCACACAGCATTTGTGACCTGGGAGTCTTCCTTAAAAGACTTTATATTTTTGATTAAAAGTAATTCCTCATATACCTTTGAGAATGAAGCATATGGATGAATCTGTTAGGCATATGGATAGAGCTTAGCTCTTTTTTTTTTCCCTCTTTCCCCCCCAAACACTAGTGCGATAGGTTAAAAAGGCAAAGGCCAGGTCCTGCTCAAAGCAAATAAACAAAAAATATTACGAGATACTGGAAAGCATCTGCTGGAAAATGAGGCTAATCTCAGCAGGATTTCCTGGTTAAATACTTGAGATAAATGACGTTCATTTAAAATGAATGTAGCTAATCCACTGTTGCTCCGGAGAGGCTCGCAGGGTGCAGTGGATAGAGATTTAGATTCTTGCAGGGCTTAATACTTGTTCTCATTTACATGAGTATTCTACAGTGGTGTAACTCTGTGGGACCCTATTCTCTTATTTAAGCCAATAGAAATTAGCCTTGATTACCCTTGTGTAAAACCCAAGTAAAGGAAGAATCAGTCGTGTGGTTTTTAGATATGCTCTATTTGTTGCCTTAGACTCTTTTAGCGCCATGATGTAGCTGTGCGAAGTTGGCTCTTCTGTTTAAGATCTAGAATGTGCAACTCGTCTTTTTGCAGGGTTACCCTCTTGTTTTAAAAGCCAGGGGCTCATGTTGACACGCGGTATCTTGCCATTTGTGTCCCTTCTGAAACCAAAGGGACAAAACGGTTTTTATAGGAAACAGAACTGGGTGCTAAGGAATTCGTTCAGACGCGGCAGCGTGCTGTGTGAGGGCAGGACTTGGGCAGAGCACAGAATTTCCTCAAGCCTCTAGGAAATCAGTTTTCAGCCACTTGAAATCACTTGTCCCTGGTGATTTTCCTGCAGCTCCAGCACAGCACCCTCCTGCTGAGCTCATGTCGGCAGATGAGCTCGGTGTCTGGTGGAGCGAAGGACGATGTTCTGGGACTGTGGTTCCCACTCTTAGTGTTTGAGGCTTTGTTATGGAATTAAAATGACCAAGTAAATATCTGGAAGGAAGGACCAGAGGGAAGTATCTGTCCCAGTCTGCTCAGTCTTGTCATATTAAACAGTAAAGATTATTTAAGTGCTTAAAATAATGAGGAAAATGAGCTCTGCTTTAATGAGCTTTCAGTTGTGTGCAGCAAGAGGTGATTGCCCCCACCCATCAAAAAACTGTTCAGAGTTTTCCAGCCATTCCAGTCCATATTTATATGAAGGTGTGTCTGGGGACTCTGGCTTGACATCAGGGTTGGGTTTTTTTTCATGCTGTGAGTACATGGTGAGGCTCGATAGCAAGTTTCTTTGCAAACATAGGTGAGTGATTAAGTTTTGAGTTTTCCGGTGACCCTGCCACACGGTTTCATCAAAAAGTCAGTCTTCAGTCCAAACCTGTGGTTTGAGACAAATATGTTTCTGAAATTGAGGAGGAATTTTTGCAGTCCAGCACCGAGCTTGGGTGCAAACGTAAGCCTGATGAAAATCCAAACTAAAATGGATTGTTCTCATTTTTGTGTGTGTGTTTCAGTAAAGGTTACTGAAATTTTATTAGGCTTGTGAGGCTTTTAGATATGACCAAGGGAAGCTGTAAAAAATAAAGAGTATATGGAGACTGTGATGGCCCAGTGTTGCTGTACTCAGCCGACAGTGTGTAATAATGAATTTCTGTCCATGGCTCTGGGTGCTTGCTCTCAGAAGGGCTCACTCTACGTGCTGTGGTTTGCAGCTGGAGAAACTGAGGCAGGGCAGGAGTGGGTCACAGCAAAGCAGGTCCCTGGCTGAAAACTCACCTCCTGCCTGCCAGTCGAAGTCTTTCTATTCCTCCCACCTCCCTCTGCGCAATTGCTTTTGAACAGGACGTGGGGAGCAGGGGAGTGAGTGATTTAATGTGGCCATTTCTCTCCCTGCATCAACGTGGTTCATCCTGAAGAGCTCGAGCAAGTGGCTGCGTCCAGCATTTCAGAGTTTTGCTTTTCCAGGGAGGAGTTCTTTTTGACTTCAGGGGAATCTCTGAAGATTTATGGACCGCTGTGGCACCCATCGGTGTGTAGCCATACATGTGGCGTGTCTGGAGAGTGGGTGTTAAATCTTGGGCTTATGGTGTGTAACTATGTCCATTC